CCCGGAGTCCTCTCTGGGCAGCTCCGCGCCCGCAGCCCCGCGTCCCCTAGTTGGGGTGGGGACCATGGGCGGGTCCTCGGGAGGGTCCCGACTCGTGTGCGGGGTGGTGAGTGGAGGAGTTGGGGTCTGGGGGGGTCTCCAGCCCCTCCGTTCTGCTACTAAAAATTAAACAGAGGCAGGCCGAGCGCGATGGCTCACGCCTGTCATCCCAGCATTTTGGGAGGCAGAGGCGGGAGGCCTGCTGAAGCCCAGGAGTTCGAGAGCAGGCTGGGCAACATAGCCAGACCCCATCTCTAGTTAAAAAACAAACAAATACATAAATAAATAAATGCACAAAATAAACGGGGGTTCTGTCAAAAAATAAAGATGCCGGGCACGGTGGCTCACGCCTGTAATCCCAGCACTTTTGAGGTGGAGGAGAGAGGATTACCTGAGCTCAGGGTTTCGAGACCAGCGTGAGCAACATGGCAAGACCGCGTCTCTACAGTAAGTAAAGAAAATCAGCTGGGCGTGGTGGCGCGTGCCTGTAGTTATGGCTCCTTGGAAGGCTGAAGGGGAAGGATCGCCTGAGCCCAGCTGGTGGTGGCTGCGGTGGCCATGAGTGCTCCTCTGCACTCCAGCCTGGGGGACAGAGTGAGACTCTGACTCAAACATAAATAAATAGAGTTTATTCGAGCAGACAGCGATTCATGAGTGAGAAATAGCCAGCCATGGGTTGTGGTCTGGGGACCCCTTGGAAGGGCTCCAAGGGAAAGCTTTATAAGGTTCCCAAGGTAGCAAACTAGATGGCATCTGTGACTGGTTACAGGTAAGTGGCGGCCTTATTTGGTTTACCCAGGTGGAAATTTTCTGTAGTCAGAGGTTAATTGGCGATTGTGGTTGTTTAAGCCTACATTTTGTTTTCCCTATAAATTAGTCATTTACAAAAGAAGTTCATTTGCTTTAGATTTTGGCTTCCTTGGGTAGGAGACCAGGACACCACAGTCAGTTCAGTCTAATTGCCTCCTAATTCATTATTTTAACACTTCCAGAAGGACTGGTTTTCCTCTCTGTTTTTCTTTTTCTTTTCTTTCCTTTTCTTTTTTTTTTGAGTTGGAATTGCACTCTGTTGCCCAGGCTGGTGTGCAGTGACACGATCACGGTCACTGCAGCCTCAACCTGCTGGGCTCAGGCGATCTTTCTGCCTCTGCCTTCCAAACTGCTGGAACTACAGGTATGCACCACCACGCCTGGCTAATTTTTTGATTTATTGTAGAGATAAGGTCTTGCCATGTTGCTCAGGCTGGTCTTGAACCCCTGAACTCAGGCAATCTTCTCACCTTGGCCTCTCAGAGTGCTTGGGTTACAGAATTGAGCCACTGCGCCCAGCCTCTGTATGCGAACCAGGGTCCCAAATCCTTGACTCTGTTCCCTTAGTTTAATGCTTCTAGCCTAAGTTTTCATTTCCTTCCCTCCACTCCCAAATGTCAATTCCCTTCTCCAGTTCATGGGATCAGCTATTTGTCCTTTATTATACATTTTAGATAAACAGTAATTTAATTGTTTATCATTTTTTCAAGGAGCAATGGATTGCTCTTTTAAAAATATTTGTTTTCTGCTTCTGAACACTTCACATGAGAGGAAAGCAGAGAATAAGAGCACAAAACCCCACTGAAAGAAACCTTTGTTCCTCTCCTGCTTATATCTGTCCTAGCCAGACACCTCATCAGAATGTCTTTGGGCTGAGGTTCCCCTTTGAAACATGTACAGGTTCCTATGCCCTCAGCCCACCCTATCTTTTCCTGGCTCTGGGTTTCAGAACTGTCCGAGTCTGCCCCCAAGATGCCTACAGCTTCCCTGTCTTCTTGGAGGGTCAAGTGCATATCAGCCACTGGGTCATCTTCCAGAGGACAACCTGAGGTGGAGGTGGGACCTCCCAGGGGAGCAGCTGGATGCCTTTGACTGGGAGAACATCCTGCTATGTACTTCATCTGTTTTATTTTATTTTTCTTTATTTCAGTAGTTTTAGGGGTATAGATAGCTTTTGGTTACATGGTTGCATTGCATAGTGGCAAAGAAGTCTGGGCTTTATGTGTGTACCCAGCACCCCAACCTGTGCTCATTGTACGCAGTAGGCGATCATGTATTTCATCTAAAAACTAAGCCCTTAGGACACTTAGATTTCTCACGCCAACCCCAGTTTCCATTTCTTGGGGACACATTGGTGGCCTGCCAGTTGGATGGTGGTATTAAGGGGATAAGACAAATGATCCCTGCGCCTCTGGAGTAGCTCAGACTAGTGAAGGGAGAAAACTATCCCTGAGGACAGGAGAACCCACCCCATTGAGGTAATGGGCACACAATGCCATATCTCCTGGGAGGTGGTCATTGAGCACTTCAGGGAGCAGTGTGGGGCTGGGGGATGTGCCAGGTGATAGGATGACCTGACCTCACCCTTGAGTCAGGCTTGTCTGTGTGCCAGTCAGCACTGCCCCTTCCTGGGTTTGTTCCCTGGAAAAGATTTGTTCACTTTTTTTCTTTTTTTGAGTTGGAGTCTCACTCTGTCGCCCAGACTGGAGTGCAGTGGCCGCTCCCGGTCACTGCAGCCTC